AAACCTTTGCCTTTTGGGGAGTTCTCGAGACCTACCTGACCTCGAATTCCCCTCTCGCCCTTCTAACGGGAGGGAGCCCCGGGCTCGAGGATATTACGAGCTCAGGGCTCTCTCCCGGGACAGCATGCCAAATACGCTTTATTGATTATCAGCTAAGTGTGAACTCTTGAAGTGTGGTTTATTCATAAACTAATTTCGAGAGGATCACGTGCTTATAATCAACACGGCTGGCTCCTTGTTAGCTCCGTAATCAGCCCTATTAGATGATTACGGAAGCATTATAAATAACCTGAGTTTTCCACTCCAGTTATCTTCGTCTTGAAGCTCCCCCCTTCCACCCCTACATCCTCCCACTTTTTCTGATCGGGCGACACGGTGGCCCAGTGGCTAGCACTGTTGCCTCACAGCAAGAACACCGCTAGTCCAACCCATCGGGCTGGTTGGTGTTTCTGTGTGGAGTTTGCATGTTCTCCCCGTGTTCGCGTGGGTTTTCCCCGGGTTCCCCGGTTTCCTCCCACCGTCCAAAAACATAAACCATAGCAATCGACTAAAACAAATTATCACCCAATACAACCTGAGTTTACACTTCTCACGGTGACCAGCAGGGGAGTTCTCGAGACCTACCTGACCTCGAATTCCCCTCTCGCCCTTCTAACGGGAGGGAGCCCCGGGCTCGAGGATATTACGAGCTCAGGGCTCTCTCCCGGGACAGCATGCCAAATACGCTTTATTGATTATCAGCTAAGTGTGAACTCTTGAATAGGAAATTTTGAGAAACTAAAATAGATTTTTCATTATACCAAAACAAACCCGGTCTAAACTCCGGCGCAGAGTTGCGCCTCGCTTTCACACTGCTTAATACGCACAAGAGAGCAATAGGCAAATATCTTTACATATAAAAAAAATGTAAATATTAAGGATATATATAGGATATAATAAGAATAGATATAGAATATAAATATAAAGGATTAAAATATTACAAAACATATTATTTTCTAGCCTACATAAATATGAAAAACCACTGCTTTTATGTCTTCTTCATCTCGGGAGGCTTTTTCAGTTCATTCATAACAATTTGCTTTTGTATAATGTTATTATTATTAGCAGTGTTATTTATTATTTCAAATTTATATTTGTTTTATTAAAAACAAGCTTAGATTTGTCCACCTGTCAGGTTTTAGACCATATGGGGCACAGCATGTGTTTTAGGATATAACTCAGGTTTTTGAGCACATTTTGCTGTTATTATTATTCATTTATTCGTTTGCTGGAAATTAGAACTGAATTTAGAAATAGTTTTGAAACGAATACTTGCGCTTAACAAACACAATTATTTATTTATAGACTAATTGATGTCTGTGCGTAAAGGTTTCCCTATCCAAGAGCGAAAGTGAAAGTAGTTCCATTATCTCTCATTCTCACGCAGTAGATGCTCTGTTTAACAGTTTTCTGTTAAAAATCTGTTAACTGTTTGCTAATGAAATGCTCATTTTTTCCACTTAGACTTACTTTATGTCCTGTAAATAGCGAATGCGCTCTTGGCGTGACGCAGCTGGCTCTTAAAGGGAATGGGAGATGAGACTCTAATTGGTTTATTCTCAAAACACACCTATAACTCATTAAGAAAATAACCTCAACCCTTTTAGACCTTGCGCCATGGCACAAAGCGGATTTTCCCATCCTTAAATTAGCAAAAACGCGTCCTGACACGCCCTGAAAGCGTTTGCACCCTGCGTTTTGCGCTCTGCGCATGGACCATCAAAATAGAGCCCTAATTTCTTATATTATGTGGTTGCAAACTCGTGAACTGTGGAATAGCTTGCCTTTAGAGATTAGAAGGACCCCATCTCTTTAAACATGTTTTTACTTTTTTATCAGACTTTTATCTTTTTTAATAAAATTTTTTTTTTATACAAATAAAAATATATTTATTAAAACCTACTTTGCTGTAAAGCACTTGTTATATGTGCTCTGTATAAATAAAGTGACCTTTAACCTTCTTACCACAAAACATTTTCACAGAAATCATGGAGATCTTACAACATAATGAACAAAATATTGTCATTGTCCAATGATAATTTTATGAAAATTATATATATATATATATATATATATATATATATATATATATATATATATATATATATATATATATATATATATATATATATATATATATATATATATATATATATATATATATATATATATATATATATATATATATATATATATATATATATATATATATATATATATATATATATATATATATATATATATATATATATATATATATATATATATATATATATATATATATATATATATATATATATATATATATATATATATATATATATATATATATATATATATATATATATATATATATATATATATATATATATATATATATATATATATATATATATATATATATATATATATATATATATATTTATATATATA